AGCTCTAGACTCGGCTCCTGTCAGGAGACTGGAGTGGCAGAAACAGAACATTGAGGTCAGTGGTCTCTTCAATGCTGATTTTTTTTTTTTCATTGCTCAGATTGCAGGGCATATATTGTTTTACTGCGCTGAAGCTGTAGCAAAATCTGCTACTGTACAGTGTGTTGGGGTTTGTCTCTTTGACAGCCACTATGTTAGCACATTGTGTAAAGGTTTGTCTTCTAGACAGGCACTACATTAGCACATTGTGTCAAGGTTTGTTTCCTTGACAACCACTATGTTCACACATTGTTTCAAGGTTTGTCTCCTTGACAGCCACTACGTTAGCACACTGTGTCAAAGTTTGCCTCCTTGACAGGTCGTAAGTTAGCACATAATGTCAAGGTTTATCTCCTCAACAGGCACTACATTCACACATAGTTAGCCAGACCCATCAGCTGTAAGACAGGCTGCCTAAACTCCGAGCATATTCTTCAAATAGGACACATTAGCTACCAGAGCTGGCCACACAACATGAGTTACTCTGGGCTAGAGTGGATCTTTCTGTGGACACATTAGCTACCAGAACTGGCCACACAACATGAGTTACTCTGGGCTAGAGTGGATCTTTCTGTGGACACATTAGCTACCAGAACTGGCCACACAACATGAGTTACTCTGGGCTAGAGTGGATCTTTCTGTGGACACATTAGCTACCAGAACTGGCCACACAACATGAGTTACTCTGGGCTAGAGTGGATCTTTCTGTGGACACATTAGCTACCAGAACTGGCCACACAACATGAGTTACTCTGGGCTAGAGTGGACTTCCCTATGGACACATTAGCTACCAGAACTGGCCACACAACATGAGTTACTCTGGGCTAGAGTGGACTTCCCTATGGACACATTAGCTACCAGAACTGGCCACACAACATGAGTTACTCTGGGCTAGAGTGGACTTCCCTATGGACACATTAGCTACCAGAACTGGCCACACAACATGAGTTACTCTGGGCTAGAGTGGAAGATCTTTAAGGCAAAGTAGTTTCTGATGAGACAATATGTGTTGAAGTTTAAGAGTGAAAACCATAAAAGTAGACAGAAATGAGGGAATGAGTGAAGCAGAGGAAGGAGGAGGAGGAGAATGATGAGAAGGAGCAGTAGAAGAGGATTAAGAAAAATATGGAAAAACAGACAGAGAAGAAGTGAACGTAACTAGTTTATTTCACTAGAGACAAAAGTCATCAACATAACAGATCAGTTTACTTTTTTAGTTAGTCATTTTGATGGTGAAGGAAATACCAAGCAAGAAATTATGAAACGCACTGACAAGGCATCAGTAGCTTGAACAAAATATGGAACTCTAAATTGTTTCGTTTTAAAACCAAGTTACGTATTTTCATTTCTAATGTTATTTCAGTTTTAACACATGCAGGTGAAAGCTGCAGAACCAGTAAAGACATGCAATGAAAGTTAAACACATTCAAATACAAATGTCTGATGAAACTAAAATAGAAGGGTTTTAAAAGGAGTGAAGAAATCAGAGAAATGTCTGGACAACCACTGGTAGCAACAGTTTGAAGACAGAGAAGATGGTGCTACATTGGAGACATCTTGAGAAGAAACCAGCAGAAAACACCAAACAGGTAAAATGGGAAATAAAGGAGGCGAGAACACTCAGAGGAAACTCTTGCAAGGAACATTGATGAGAGAGGCCAAGACTGCTGGACTGGATTCCATCCATGATATGGAATTGCTTGTACAGAATAGAACGGAATGGAGGAATAGACTGCAAGCCTTATGAGACATATAACAGCACAACAGGATCATGAATGGATGAAAAACCTTGCCTGAATGTGTACTTTGTACAGTCAGTGTCTGTACTTGACAGACATGCACAAACCATAGAATGATTTTGGGCGAAAAGTTTTGTTCCCTCAGGCCTGGAAGAGGAAGCTTGATGATAAAAGTACAGTAATTTAGCAAGTCAATGTGTGTGTAGCAGAGGATGAGCAGTTGATGAATGCAGAACTGATTTGTTGTCTTGCAGGCACTGCAGGAGTTCTGTCAGCTGATTGACAGTTCCTCGTCATTTAGAGCATACCGCCAGGCACTCTCGGAGACTGAACCACCCTGTATACCTTACCTGTAAGTTACACCTTCTCATTGTTGTCCTGTCAGTATTCACAGTGTAATAATCCATTTCTGTCTGTTGTCTCCCTAACGCTGTCTCTGGCATCTTCTCTTTGTTTTTTGCCTTGTACATTGAAATGTGCCTATGGTCTGGATTTTCTTTTTGTGCTTTGATGTTTTGTTACGTCTTTCTGTCTCTTCATTGCACTTCTGTGCTCTTTTTCTTCTGTATACCTCTCCTTTACCCCCCACCCCCTTTTTTTCTCTCTCACCTTTCTTTTACTGTTTTTTCCTTTATTTTGTTTTCCACTGCACTTCCCTTCTGTTGTTTTGTCATGTTTACTTCCTTCTCATTATTCCTCCACTATTATGTCGCTCCTTCTCCTTCTGTCTCTTCCACTCTGTTTTTCTTCTGTGCTGTTTTGTTTTTTCGTTCCCTTCTTTTCTTCAGTACCATCTGCAAGCTTTGCTTAACCACTCTTTTGCTCATACACTCTGGCTCCCAGTTCTGCTGTATCTGATCTGGTGATCCATCCTAAGTAGCAAGTAGAATTAAATATCTGTTGAGTGTTTCACATTTGACGTCTGCTGCCCTCCCACACAGGGGACTTATCCTACAAGACTTGACATTCGTGAACATTGGCAACCCCGACAAGCTGGCAGACGGAAGCGTCAACTTTGCCAAACACTGGCAACAGTTTAACATACTGGACAGTATGAGGCGGTTTAGAGCCAGGTGAGTGTCTTCTTGTGTGGTTTAGGACCAGGTGAGTGTCTTCTTGGTGTGGTTTAGAACCAGGCGAGTGTCTTCTTGTGTGGTTTAGAACCAGGCGAGTGTCTTCTTGGTGTGGTTTAGAACCAGGCTAGTGTCTTCTTGTGTGGTTTAGAACCAGGTGAGTGTCTTATTGTGTGGTTTAGAACCAGGCGAGTGTCTTCTTGTGTGGTTTAGAACCAGGCGAGTGTCTTGTGTGGTTTAGAACCAGGCGAGTGTCTTCTCGTTTGGGTTAGAACCAGGCGAGTGTCTTCTTGTGTGGTTTAGAACCAGGTGAGTGTCTTCTTATGTGGTTTAGAACCAGGCGAGTGTCTTGTGTGGTTTAGAACCAGGTGTCTTGTGTGGTTTAGAACCAGGTGTCTTGTGTGGTTTAGAACCAGGCGAGTGTCTTCTTGTGTGGTTTAGAACCAGGCAAGTGTCTTCTCATTTGGCTTAGAACCAGGCGAGTGTCTTCTTGTGTGGTTTAGAACCAGGTGAGTGTCTTCTTATGTGGTTTAGAACCAGATTTGTATCTTTTTGTGAGGTTTAGAACCAGTTTCACATTGTCTTGTCCACTTGAGAGCCTAGCCAGTGTCATCTCACATGGCTTAGAGCCACATCTGTTTCTTCTTGTGCAGTTTCAGCCAGTGTCATCTCACACGGCTTAGAGCCACATCTGTTTCTTCTTGTGCAGTTTCAGCCAGTGTCATCTCACACGGCTTAGAGCCACATCTGTTTCTTCTTGTGCAGTTTCAGCCAGTGTCATCTCACATGGCTTAGAGCCGATATTTGAGTGCCAGCTGCAGCCAGATTTGAAGTTGGCATGTTTTTTCCTGCTGGTAGAAAATCTGCTCACTCCCAGAGCTCATTCTCTCTGAATATGTATGCCTTATCTGTTCTGTTGCACTGTTTACTTGATCCTTCACAGCTTTCACCATGCAGGGTTTGTTGTAATGTAGCTCACCACCTAGAGGGGCAGCATCAGCTAATCTATCAGCCTACTCACTACTGAGCTGAGTTGAGCTGAGTCAAGATGTTAAGATTAGTCATTTTATATGGTTCTGAAACTTGGAACACAACTGAAAGAGATGATGCCTTATTACAGGTTTTTGAAAACAGTCTTACGACGAATCTTTGGACCCATCAAAGATGCAAACAGCAGGGAGTAGAGATTAGGAATATATATATTTTATACACTATATGTATTCTGCCGACATCACAGCACTCGGGGCATTTCCATGAGTGCTCCATCCTTATCTTCAGCAGCCAGCGCAAAGTTCCAATACTGATGATACAGGTCACAATCTGGTTATATTCCGTCTTCCCTTTCCTCTGAGTGTAGTGAGCCAGCTTAACCTTCTGGTTACACTCAGGTGCCTCATTCTCTCTAGGCCATATTAATCTTGTTTCTCTACTGATTCGGTTGCTTGTTTCCAAAGGGCCATGACCACATCTACCTTGTGATGTATCAGTTCACCACCAAGTGGTACAGATCCAGCCAGTCTGTTTGCCTGTTCATTACCCACCATGCCGGCATGGCCTAGAGAAAAAATCCAAAGTATGCTCACTTACCTTGACCTTCAATCTGTGCCATTAGTTTTAAAAAAATATGATATGATGTAGGAATTTGTTCCAGTTGGTTGATGCCCTGTCTGATGTTTTGTTTCTTGCTTTCAGTTGTTACCAGTTAAAGCGAAATGAAAAGGTCATGAACTTTCTCAACAACTTTGAGGGCTACCTCAACGAAGACATTCTCTGGCAGATCTCGCAGAAAATCAAACCTCGACCAGTTGGACACCGCAAGCAGAACTCTATCAGTTGATAAACTCATTATCATCTTTGGGGACACCATAAATCAGTCTCTATCAACTTGATGTCATCTTCATGTGTTCTGGGAACACAAGTTATCAATATCAGATGTCAGTGTATTGTATGTGAAAACAAAAGATCAAGCTAGATGTTTCTTCACTCTCTTTGATGCAACATCAAGATGTCTGTGGATGGAAGAATTCAGTCAACATTAATCTATTGTCATCATGATTTCTGAACGCAACATGTCAATCTATATTATTTTACTGTCAGCATCACAATATCTTTGGACAAAACATTCAGTCAACATTAATCTGTTGTCATCATGATCTCTGGACACACAATATTGATGTGTACTATTTTGTCAACATCACGATGTCTGTGAACACAGAATTCAGTCAACATCAATCTGTTGTCATCATGATTTCTGGACGCAAGATATTACATAAATTATTTTAATTTCAACATCATGTTGTTCGTGGACAGAAGAAGTTTGTCACCATTTATGTATTGTCGTCATGATTTTTAGGGAGCTTTCTAAAGTTCACCACTTTGTCTTGGGTAGATAGTGATCCAGACAAATGAGAGCTTTCTGCAGTTCACCACTTGTCTTGGGTAGATAGTGATCCATACAAGTGGGAGCTTTCTACAGTACACCATTTGTCTTAGGTAGATAGTGATCCAGACAAATGAGAGCTTTCTACAGTTCACCACTTGTCTTGGGTAGATAGTGATCCAGACAAATGAGAGCTTTCTACAGTTCACCACTTGTCTTGGGTAGATAGTGTTCCAGACAAATGAGAGCTTTCTACAGTTCACCACTTGTCTTGGGTAGATAGTGATCCAGACAAATGAGAGCTTTCTACAGTTCACCACTTGTCTTGGGTAGATAGTGTTCCAGACAAATGAGAGCTTTCTACAGTTCACCACTTGTCTTGGGTAGATAGTGTTCCAGACAAATGAGAGCTTTCTACAGTTCACCACTTGTCTTGGGTAGATAGTGATCCAGACAAATGAGAGCTTTCTACAGTTCACCACTTGTCTTGGGTAGATAGTGTTCCAGACAAATGAGAGCTTTCTACAGTTCACCACTTGTCTTGGGTAGATAGTGTTCCAGACAAATGAGAGCTTTCTACAGTTCACCACTTGTCTTGGGTAGATAGTGATCCAGACAAATGAGAGCTTTCTACAGTTCACCACTTGTCTTAGGTAGATAGTGTTCCGGACAAGTGGGAGTTTTCTACAGTACACCACTTGTCTTGGGAGCAAAGTGCTGGTTGTTGTCTTTGGGGTAGAATGGCTACCTGACATTTGAAGTCTGGGTGCCGGTCAATGTCTGGTCAAGTCAGAAAGTGATTCAAAGGCTTTCCTGGGCATTACTGCCCAAGTTAAAGTTGCTAGATGTCTGCATCTGGTAATCTGTGCTACAGTCATAAATGTGGTGTAAAGTAGCTGGTACTCCATGCTACAATCATAAATGTGTAAAGTAGCTGGTAATCCATGCTACAATCATAAATGTGGTGTAAAGTAGCTGGTACCCATGCTTCAATCATAAATGTGTAAAGTAGCTGGTAATCCATGCTACAATCATAAATGTGGTGTAAAGTAGCTGGTACCCATGCTACAATCATAAATGTGTAAAGTAGCTGGTAATCCATGCTACAATCATAAATGTGGTGTAAAGTAGCTGGTAATCCATGCTACAATCATAAATGTGGTGTAAAAATAGAATAACACTCTGTGGTAAACAGTCATATCAGCATCATGTGCCAGACATTAATGATACTGAATTATCAGTTGAGTATCTCTGTGTTGTTGTGAACATAGATGCCTGCAACCTTTCATCTGTCTGTACATGTGAATTTGTAGATAATCAAACAATTGTTTCTACATCATCCAGACAGGTTGACAGAGACGGTTGATTGCCAAATGAGAACATCATTTGAATGTCTGAGATTTTTGTTGTAAATATTTTTACAAGTATTTATTTCATCTGATATATTACTGCCTGATAATTTCTGCTGCTGTGTGTCTGGTTGTTGCTGCTATGTGTGGTTGCAGCTGTGATGTTCCTATATGAGTTCAAAACTGTATGACCAATCAGCACTCGGTGGGTGATGTAGTCAGCATCACACTGGCTGCCTTTACTTCCCAGGACTTTACCTGGTACCCTTTAAGACCTGAGAGCCAGGTTTTTTTTTAAATCTAGCTGTGTTCAAATTTGAACCAAGACCTTCAGATCTGTGAGTGAGTGTTTAGCTGCTACACCGTGTCAGCTTCCCATGGCCATATTTTTTAAAATTAACCTGAGACACTGTGAATCTGTTCTAAACCCGTATGGATGTGTAACCGCTGACTATCGAGAAACAGACCAGCCTGACGTTTGCACTTGTGTGATGTAGGTTGACACTTGCGACACTGTATGTCTGTTGAAGTGATGCAGCAAGTGAGAGAGATGTTTAGTTTTTTTTTAAATATTCAGTCTAATCATTCACAGGTGGAATGATCCATGGTATATCTTCAGTTCACATCTGTCATCTGTTTACAGCTTGAGCTGTACACATTTCGGTCAGACCATAGCGTTTCTGTAGTGTTGTATTTGCCAGTCAGAAAGTCACATTTGATGGAATTGTTTTTGCCTGGCTCGCTAGCGCAGTTGGTTAAACCTGACTGCACAGTGACCAGGTTACGAACTCCTTCTGGTCTGCTTTCACGCCTGGCTGTAGGTGGAAAAGCCACATTTTTCTCAGATTTACTGTACCTATCATGGAATCAAGGCTGAAGGGTTGCAACATCCATAGTACCGAGCCAAAGGGTTAATATAACCACTCATGGTTTCTGGATTCTTCAACAACAGAAAAGATGGAATTGTTGACTGAAGTCTTTAGTCTCAAGCAGGTCATGTTGCATGGCTCTCCTGGCCATCGATGTTGTACAGATGTGCCCCGCCCCCCCTCCCCAAACCACTTATCTAGGGGAGGATGACACTTGTAGAGGGGCTGTAGCTTTAGGTTTTCTCATTTTGTGCCTAGTCTGTTCTCTCTAGTGTGGAGAGACATGACGTGGGGGCTGTTGTTTTCCTTGTATGGAGAGATATAATGTGACTTGTGCCTAGTCTGTTCTCTCTAGTGTGGAGAGACATGACGTGGGGGCTGTTGTTTTCCTTGTATGGAGAGATATAATGTGACTTGTGCCTAGTCTGTTCTCTCTAGTGTGGAGAGACATGACGTGGGGGCTGTTGTTTTCCTTGTATGTAGAGATATAGTGTGACTTGTGCCTAGTCTGTTCTCTCTAGTGTGGAGAGACATGACGTGGGGGCTGTTCTGTTCCCTCTATGGAGAGATATAGTGTGTCGTGCTTTGTCTGTTCTCTCTAGTATAGAGAGACATACTTAGGGGGCTGTTCTGTTCCCTCTATGGAGAGATATAGTGTGACGTGCTTTGTCTGTTCTCTGTAGAATAGAGAGACTTGACTTAGGGACTGTTATTTTCCCTGTATGGAGAGATATAGTGTGACTTGTGCCTAGTCTGTTCACTGTAGTTTAGAGGGATGTAAATTTACTGGTGGGGGGGAGCTTTTTCTCTGCGTAATATAAAGAGGCATAACTTTAATTGGGGCTTCCCTCTGTAATGTAAAGGGATATAACTTTACTTGGGGCTTCCCTCTGTAATGTAAAGGGATATAACTTTACTTGGGGCTTCCCTCTGTAATGTAGAAGGATATAACTTTACTTGGGGCTTCTCTCTGTAATGTAAAGGGATATAACTTTACTTGGGGCTTCCCTCTGTAATGTAAAGGGATATAACTTTACTTGGGGCTTCCCTCTGTAATGTAGAAGGATATAACTTTACTTGGGGCTTCTCTCTGTAATGTAAAGGGATATAACTTAACTTGGGGGCTTCCCTCTGTAATGTAAAGGATATAACTTAACTTGGGGGCTTCCCTCTGTAATGTAGAGGGATATAACCTTACTTCATGCTGCTGTATTCTCTATACATAAATTTACACACATGTATCTGTTCTTGCATATTAAACATAAACACACATACACACACACACACACACATATTTGAATATGTGGTAACACTGATATTGAATCCTCAGAATCAAGCTCAACTTCAGATGTTGAGTGAGCTCATACTTTGCCACACAGAAGCCACACAGAAACCACACTGGTGAGGTTTGATGATGAACCAACCTATCAAACATTGATTGTTAATCTGCAGAATGTTCAATTTCAGCTTTATGTCTTTACATATTCTCCATTGTTCATGAACGTGTGAAAAAAATGATTTTCAAGATTGTGTTTTTAGACATTCTCCATTAACCATAGACATATGGAAAATGATTGTGTTTGTAGATATTCTCCATTACCCATAGACATATGGGAAATGATTGTGTTTGTATATATTCTCCATGATCATGAACAATTGGGAAATGATTGTGTTTGTAGATATTATCTTTTGATCCTAGACAAGTAAGAAATTATTGTTTTTGTAGATATTCTCTCTTGTTCCTGGACAAGTAAGAAATGATTGTGTTTGTAGATATTCTCCATGATCGTAGATAAGTGGGAAATGATTGTGTTTGTAAATATTCTCTGTTGATCATAGATGAGTGAGAAATGATTGTATTTGTAGATATGCTATATTGATCAGACAATTTAGAAATGATTGTGTTTGTAGACATTATCCATTGATGAAACAGGAAATGATTGTGTGTAACTACTCCCCATTAATCATAGGCAAGTGAGAAATGAAATGATTAAGCTCGTAAGTATTTTCCATTGATCATGGACAAGTGGGGACTAAATTAGGCTGGATGTGTCGGCCACTGTCTAGAATTGTTCACACGTTATAATTGGGTTCACAATGACTAGGCATTATTGTTCTCTGGACTTGTGTTCACCTGTGCAGATTTGGCATTTCTTGAATGACTTTGTGAACAGTTTGTGATAAATTGTGTACTAGTGACATATGTGTGATAGTGTACTGATGACATACATGTGATTGTGTACAGATGACATGTATGTGATTGTGTACTGATGACATGCATGTGATTGTGTAACTGGTGGCATACATGTGATTGTGTAACTGGTGGCATACATGTGATTGTGTAACTGGTGGCATACATGTGATTGTGTAACTGGTGGCATACATGTGATTGTGTAACTGGTGGCATACATGTGATTGTGTAACTGGTGGCATACATGTGATTGTGTAACTGGTGGCATACATGTGATTGTGTAACTGGTGGCATACATGTGATTGTGTAACTGGTGGCATACATGTGATTGTGTGCTGATGATATGCATATGATTATGTAACTAATGACATGCATGTGATTGTGTTACTGATGACATGCATGTGATTGTGTTACTGATGACATGCATGTGATTGTGTACTGATGACATGTATGTGATTGTGTACTGATGACATGTATGTGATTGTGTACTGATGACATGTATGTGATTGTGTACTGATGACATGTATGTGAGTGTGTAACTGATGACATGCATGTGAGTGTGTAACTGATGACATGCATGTGAGTGTGTAACTGATGACATGCATACGATTGTGTTACTGATGACATACATATGATTGTGTAACTGATGACATACATATGATTGTGTAACTAATGACATACATTTGATTGTGTTACTGATGACATACATGTGATTGTGTAACTGATGACATGCATATTTTATCTGATAACTTGTTTCTTCATTGTCATTTTGCCTGTGGCATAACATTTTATTCTGACATCACGGCTCGTGTCGTACATCTTGACCCAGGTGTCAGATATCTTGCCTGAGGTGTGACATCTGATTCTGCCATCTAGGTCCAGGTGCTAGACATCTGGGTTCAGGTGCTAGACATCTGGGTTCAGGTGCTAGACATCTGGGTTCAGGTGCTAGACATCTAGGTTTAGGTGCTAGACATCTCGGTTCAGGTGCTAGACATCTGGGTTCAGGTGCTAGACATCTAGGTTCAGGTGCTAGACATCTAGGTTCAGGTGCTAGACATCTGGGTTCAGGTGCTAGACATCTGGGTTCAGGTGCTAGACATCTGGGTTCAGGTGCTAGACATCTGGGTTCAGGTGCTAGACATCTAGGTTCAGGTGCTAGACATCTGGGTTCAGGTGCTAGACATCTGGGTTCAGGTGCTAGACATCTGGGTTCAGGTGCTAGACATCTAGGTTCAGGTGCTAGACATCTCGGTTCAGGTGCTAGACATCTGGGTTCAGGTGCTAGACATCTAGGTTCAGGTGCTAGACATCTGGGTTCAGGTGCTAGACATCTGGGTTCAGGTGCTAGACATCTGGGTTCAGGTGCTAGACATCTGGGTTCAGGTGCTAGACATCTGGGTTCAGATGCTAGACATCTGGGTTCAGGTGCTAGACATCTGGGTTCAGGTGCTAGACATCTAGGTTCAGGTGCTAGACATCTAGGTTCAGGTGCTAGACATCTAGGTTCAGGTGCTAGACATCTAGGTTCAGGTGCTAGACATCTGGGTTCAGGTGCTAGACATCTAGGTTCAGGTGCTAGACATCTGGGTTCAGGTGTCTCATGACCTGATTCAGATGTCAAATACCTTGTCACACATCCTGTTCAGGGTGTCAAGTCTGACATAATAAAAGAGGAAAATAACAAAAGCCCACATTGTCCGGGCCGATGTCCCAGTGACAGTTGATGGCTCTTGATTCCTGGTTGTCATCTTCTATAGTTTTCTCATAACTTCTCAGTTCATTGTGAGAATAAAATTCAAGATATGATTCAGTAAAAGTGTTGGTCTAAGAGTTGATATCAAGTTATTGTGTTTGTGTGAAAGTTGATAATCAAGTTATTGTGTTTGTGTGAAAGTTGATGATCAAGTTATTGTGTTGGTGTGAAAGTTGGTGATCTAGTTATTATGTTGATTTAGGAGTTGGTGATCAAGTTTTTGTGTTAGTGTGAGAGTCGATGGTCACATTATTACATTGATGTGAGAGTTGATGATTTAGTTAGTGCATGAATATGAGAGCCTATGATCAAGTTATGTGTTAATATCAGAGTTTATAAAATTATTGTGTTGATGATAAAATTATTGTGTTGGTGTGTGTGCATATGTGTGTGTGCACAAGAGTGCATATATGAATGTTTCCTACTTGTGTGATTATCTGTCATATGTGCCTGTTTCTGTGTTCATTTGTCTGTCTGTTTATGCATGTGCTTATGTATTTGTCTCTCTTTGTCATTTTATCTTCTCTCTCTCTCCCTCCCTCCCTCTCTCTCTCTCTCTCTCTCTCTCTCTCTCTCTCTCTCTCTCTCTCTCTCTCTCTCTCTCTCTCTCTCTCTCTCTCTCTCTCTCTCTCTCTCTATATATATATATATATATATATATAATATATATATATATATATATATATATATATATATATATATATATATATATATATATATATATATATATAAAATTTGTCTCCATTTTTATGTGTCTGTCTCTGTTGATATTCATTTTTCTGTATGTTCTTTGTCTTTCTAATTGTTTCTGCGTATCATCTATCTTTACGTGTCTCTTTTTTACGTCCATCTCTTGGTGTGTGTCTATCTCTGTATGCGCATATGTCTGATATATGTACAGTGTTCTTGCCACCGCTGTTCTACCAATGGCAGAAATGAACAGTCTTCAGAAGACAGAAGGAATAAAGTCATGACAGAAATGAAATGTATGCATATCATGCTTGTTGTTACGAGGAAAGATCAGTTTGGGAATGATCATATCAGGATGAGAATCGGCACAGAACCAGTACTGAACTTTATGGGCAGGCAAAAATAATCTAATGGTTTGGCGTACAAGAGAAAGTCTCTACGCACCCTACAGAGTACAAGAGAAAGTCTAAACAAGACTGTTAGATACCTCCACGCTCCCTACAGCACCCTGTTAGATACCACCACACTACAGAGTACAAGAGAAAGTCTAAACAAGACTGTTAGCTACCACCACACTACAGAGTACAAGAGGAAGTCTAAACAAGACTGTTAGATACCTCCACGCTCCCTACAGAGTACAAGAGAAAGTCTAAACAAGACTGTTAGATACCTCCACGCTCCCTACAGAGTACAAGAGAAAGTCTAAACAAGACTGTTAGATACCTCTACGCACCCTACAGCACCCTGTTAGCTACCACCACACTACAGAGTACAAGAGGAAGTCTAAACAAAACTGTTAGCTACCACCACACTACAGAGTACAAGAGGAAGTCTAAACAAGACTGTCAGATACCACCACACTACATGCGTGTGTATGCGTGTGTGCGTGCGTGCGTGCGTGCATGTGTTTCTATTGTTGTTTTTCTAGGTAAATTTACTTTCAGTGGTTTGCCATAGGTGCCCGTACGGTCCTCAGGACCACTGCTGAAACCAACACAAGGCATTTTGCTACCAAATTACCCATATCTAGAATCAAACCCGGTACCCTGGCATCACGTAGCATGTTGGCAACGCCTAAAGCACAGACGTCAACAAACAATAATATCACACTTTGTTTTTCAATAAATATCCAGAAACCTTGAGTTGTTAACCCTTTGGCTGGGCACTATGGATATCTCGACCCTTCGGCCTTGATTCCATGATCATCATCATCATGTAGCAGGTCCTTTGCAGAACATCGCTCTCATCAGTCTATCTGAAAGAAACTCCCGTCTCGTGTACTTTCACACTCAAGGAGTCACTTATATCCTGTACCCATCTTTGTGTCGGTCGGCCCCTGCCCCTTCTTCCTGGTACCATGCCTTCTGCTATAATGTTTTCCAATCCGTCGTGGCGCTTGGTATGACCAAAATATTTCAGCTTCCGAGAAAGGATGCTGTTTATTAGCCAATCTTCCTTGATGTTCAGATCTTTAAAGATTTCAGTATTTCTCCTCTATCTTTGTCCAAGATTTGAGAATCTGTCTATAGCATTTCAGCTCAACAGACCCTATTCTCTTTCTTAAGGACTGAGAGATAGTCCACGACTCACATCCGTATGTAGCCACAGGGAAGATGCATGCTCTCAAAATTCTAATTTTGATCTCCTTGCTGGTGCTTAACCATAGACTTTTAAGGCGGTTCAATCTTTGCATTGCTATGTCCATCCTCCTTTTAATTTCTGTCAAACAGTCTGCATTGTTGTTTATTACAGAGCCTAGATATTCAAAGTTTGTGACATTTTCAATTTCTTCATCATTTATTGTTATTTTTGATTCCATGATAGATACTGTAAATCTGAGAGAAATGTGGCTTTTTTGCCTACCCCCGGACGTGAACCTGGACCAGAAGGAGTTTTTCCCACTCGGTCGGCCCACAGTCAGGTTTAACCACTTGAGCTAGCGCGCTGGGCATAGCATTACCTAGAATACATAACATCATGATTGGGTGACCTGGGAGTAAAGCTTGGTGAAGCTTATCAATGCTGTCATCATGGATGAGACAGGAGACACAGTAACCAACTTCTCATAGTAATAATCAGTATAGGTACCTTGGAGTGGCTGTTGCACCAGAGGACTGAGCATGTATGGGAAAGCCCAGTGTGCAGTAACGTCGATTGTGATAACATTGTAGACCAAAGTCAAACTGACTGAATGTATTCTGATGTAACAGCATCTACAGCTTAATTTTTTTTTCCTACCTTGGGCTTGTGCAGTGACAGAATCTACAGTCTACTCTGATCTTGGGCAATGACAGAATCTACAATCTACTTTGGGATAGTGCAATGATATAATCTATTCTACTCTGGATTTATGTAGTGATATAATCTACAGTTTGCTCTGGACTGGTCCAGTGACAGAATCTACAGTCTACTCTGTGCTTGTGCGGTGACAGAATCTACAGTCTGTTCCGGGCTGGTCTGGTGACAAAATCTACAATCTACACAATAATAGAATTTACAGTTTAATCTGAGTTTGTGCAGTGATATAATCTATAGGTGACTCCAGGCTCAAGCTACAGAACATAATTTAAGAAAAATAATTTTCAAGCTAATTTATATGCACGGGTAAAGGAGGTCACTTAGCCTCTCTTACACTGGGGGAAGGGGTGGGGACATACCAGCCACCCCCCCTCCCCCCCACACTCTCTAAGAAAATGAGGGGAGTGGGTGTTGAACGAGAGTCATATTTTGAGATAAAAATCGGGCACCGCGTGATCGCTGGGCTGTATTAACGTGACATGTTGGCATTTGTGTCAGAGTGAGTTGATGGTTGAGTCATCCCGGCAGTGGAGCGATTATTGGGTTATACCAGAATTGTTTATGTCATGTGATGATTTCACGATAACGATGTTAATTTCAGTTTGAACCCAGGATATTCTGGTACAACGAGGTAGGAAATATATTTTCAGGCAGAGAATGATTGGTCTGTGAGATTCCAGTATGGTGAGTTGGAATGTATGTTCAAGAACGGGAGAACTGATCCGAGAGATTCTACGATTGGGAGCTAGAATGTATGTTCAAGAACGGGGGAACTGGTCCGAAAGATTTTAGTATAGTGAGCTAAAATGTATGTTAAAGAACGGGAAAACTGGTCCAAGAGATTCCAGTAGGGAGAGCTAGAATGTATGTTGAAAAACGGGAAAATTGGTCTGAGAGGTTCTAGTACAGCGAGGACTGGGGAATTTGTCTGAGAGATTCTAGTACAGAGACGACTGGGGAATTTGCCTGAGAGCTTCTAGTACGGCGAGGACTTCGGAATTTGCCTGAGAGTTTCTAGCACAGCGAGGACTGGAGAATTGGCCTGAGAGATTATAGTACAGAGAGGACTGGGAAATTGGCCTGAGAGATTCTAGTACAGAAAGGACTAGAGAATTGGTCTGAGAGATTATAGTACAGAGAGAACTGGGGAATTGGTCTGAGAGATTCTACTACAGCGAGGACTGGGGAATTGGTCTGAGAGATTCTAGCACAGCGTGGACTAGAGAATTGGTCTGAGAGATTCTAGCACAGCGTGGACTAGAGAATTGGTCTGAGAGATTCTAGTACAGGGAAGACTGGAGAATTGGTCTGAGAGATTCTAGTACAGCGTGGACTAGAGAATTGGTCTGAGAGATTCTAGTACAGGGAAGACTGGAGAATTGGTCTGAGAGATTCTAGTACAGAGAGGACTGGGAAAATAGCCTGAGAGATTCTAATACAGAGAGGAGAATTGGTCTGAGAGATTCTAGTACAGCGAGGACTGGGGAATTGGTCTGAGAGATTCTAGTACAGAGAGGACTGGGGAATTGGTCTGAGAGATTCTAGTACAGCGAGGAATGGAGAATTGGTCTGAGAGATTCTATACAGCGAGGACTAGAGAATTGGCCTGAGAGATTCTAGTACAGCGGGGACTAGAGAATTGGCCTGTGATATTCTAGTACAGCGGGGACTAGAGAATTGGCCTGAGAGATTCTATACAGCGGTTACTGGAGAATTGGCCTGAGAGATTCTAGTACAGCGGGGACTAGAGAATTGGCCTGATAGATTCTAGTACAGCGGGGACTAGAGAATTGGCCTGAGAGATTCTAGTACAGCGGGGACTGGAGAATTGGTCTGAGAGATTCTAGTACAGCGGGGACTAGA